GCACCAATCAATAAATGAAACCTTCAACAAACAATCTTACACAACTGAGAGGCCAGCAAAGTGCGGAGGGAGGGGAGTGGTAGTCATTTTTCAGCATTCGAGAAAATAGAACATTTCGCCAGTGTCTTTGGTGTAGCATACACTCCGCTCATTAGAGTTCTATGAATAGAAATTGGAGGTAAAACCGGTAAGATGGAGCAAAATATTAATTTTTTTTTGATCGTGATACTGTCTTTCCAATTAGAAAAAAAAGGTGCTTCTACTTCAAAATGAACCTCACACGAAGAGGTGAGAAACGAAACAGAATGGGAGGCTACGCCCACATTCGGAATGTTTCACAATGACAAGAAATAATATAATTCAAACCTTCAGCCAGCTTAGCCATAAGCTGGATACGTCCTCCTTGTCCAAGGGCAAGACCCTGTTTCTCTTCAGCAACATCATCCAAACCTCGTTGTCGTATGGCCTCCTCATCCTGTAAACAAGATTCGAATGTAACTCTAGAAATTCAACCCAACATCAAGTCATACCAAAAAGAGGCGTATTCAAACGAGCGCTCATAAACTTACCTCATCGACGATTGAAACTTTGATAGGCTTTCCAGCGATTTCAAACCCATTCAACTGCTCCATCGCTTTCTGGGCATCCTCAGTCAATTTGAACTGAAAACAGGAGTGTTCACAATGTGCACATACTCAAGTAATAATGTCAAACTGTTCAAACACTATATTAGAGGACCTGCGTAAGACTGCAAAATGAGAGCAGTAGCGTTAAAAACGATGTTTGAAGGGGCGCGTGCGTGAAAAAAAGCAGAAAAACTGAAATACGTCCCATTTACTGACGTACATTTTTCCAAAATATGGAGAACAGGCCGGGTTTTCAGCTGTGGACATAATAACCATCCACTTACTCCACCACATCACTTCCCTAATATGATGGTCTCATTTTTTGTAGCATCGAAGATAATCGTAAATGAACGAAACACTTCGCCTAAACTAGAGAACACCCCATCTCTCAGGTTTTTACCGATTTGCACGTAAGCGTGCGTTCTACTTACAGCGTCAGATTTTTGAGCACACGGCAGCGTTTTGGACGACTAGGAAAGTATAGATATCGATCTAGCGTCTTGCCCGCGAAACGCTCAAAACCGTACGCTCGAAAAGCTAACGCTGAAGAAAGTATGAACGCATCCCAAGAAAATTGGTAGACGACGCTGATCGGCTGTGGGACTGTGCACTTTCGCCGGGAGCCTGGA